CATAGTACTGACTACTCCTAAATTCTTTAGATTCCGATTCCCTAACAAGTGTTTCATGAGTCTTGTTAAATTGTTGCCATAATTCATCCAAATTAGTTAATCTAATTTGTACGTAAGACGGGGTTAGTCGCTCCTTAGGCGACTTCTTTAAATTCTTTCTAGCCTTAGAAATTCTATCTGAAATATCGTCTTGAAATTTTAAAAGGCCTTCCATGTTAACAAAAAGATTATTACTCGAATTTAAATCGGATATCAACAACGAAAAAATTTCACAAGTTCCACAAGGTAAAATTTTCTAAGTCCCCTTAATTGAATTTAAAACTTTTACAAGTCCCAATATGTTGCGCGTATACAATTATTCTAAGTCCACTGAATAGATGTTAAAATTTTTACAAGTCTTTTTTATCAATTTAACTCTAGGTGAAATCCGGCATGGATTCCCCGTAACAACCAATATTACACTAAAAATTTTACAAGTCTAAATGTCATATAAATATTTTAAGTAAACACTACTCGAAATTTTAAAGTTATTTTTTACAAATATTTAGAGTTCAAATTGGCAAATCACTTACAATATTTCACTCCGTTTTATAAAGTTTAAATTGGAACAGACTCACAATTTCACCGCACGATGTCCTTACACCGCCACGCGTCGCTGGCGCCGCTGACGTCACCGCTCCTCCTCCCTTGCTCCTTGGCTCGTCCGCACCCCGTACTGCCCGTCACTCGCTGGCGAGTCTTGCACGGCACCCGTGGAGGGCGGCTAGGCTCGTCCCGATACAGCGATCCACTGCCAAGGGTACGAAGGGGGCAACAGGGTTCCCTCCCTGCTGATGATGCACCACTTCTTGCCGCAATCCCGTTCGAAGGACCAATGTACAGCTTCACGATAATGTACTTCTCGACTGCGCTGATTCGCGGCAAGGTTCCTTCCCTCTAGTGGGGAGAGTCCGAAGGACTGTTACTGATATTGCTGTCACTATGGTAACCAAAGTAAACAACGTATCCAGTGGTACATACATTTATTTCAAAGTCTCAACGCTATGTCATTTCTAGTACAGCAACTCAATAATGCGTATTTTATTAGGTGAGCGGCATCTAGCGTGCAATGGCGGAACAACAATACTGTCTATCTTCTACGGATACATAATATTATACTCAACACTAAGCTAACCTTTTTTTTTTACATGGGGAAATGCCTACGCATACCCGCCTCGCGGGGACAAGGACGGGTTATGTCGGACTCGCACCGACTAAAACCCCATGGTGTTCCACCCTCGTCGCATATTGGCAGGGCCACGGGAACGCTTTCGCACACATTCGCGGCCCCACCTGCGCTGGCCGCCCCATGGCGGCCCCTCCTCGGGAGAGGACTACTCCTCCCCCATCTCCCTCTCAGGTAAGGTGCACCAGAACACATGGCACACCCTCCTTCTCGGCCTCTAATTTCACATGCGCAACGGACGCCCCCGTGTCCGATGCGCGAAGGCCATGGGGCCAGGAAAAACTAGCACTCAGAAGCACCAGCCTTCCTGACCCCAGCGGCGGATCTGGTCTTTGGCTCCGCCGCGAACCAAGATTCGGCTGCGGAGGGTAGGGAGAGCGGCGCCTCGCAATACCGACACTCCTCTCCCCCCGCAGCCCCACCACCACCGCATCGGCGGTGCGACCCCGTTTGAGTCGCGGAGGATAGGGCGATTGGCGCATCGCCATACCAACACTCCTCTTCCTCCGCGACTCCACCTCGGCTGCAGCGGTAGAGGGAGCGGACACCCCTCTACCCGCAGCCCACCAACACACATCCGAAGCGGGCTCGTCAAGCCCGCTTGGAGTGGCCACCTCGGGCCGGCCCTACACCTTGGGCCAGCCAATGGGTTCCTCTTTGTTCACCGCGGTTGACCAAGCCACGGCTACTAAGTCCCCCCGTCACGACAAGGCGGGAACCCGTTCGGGGGGGAACCTTTTTTTTTTTTTTTTTTTCGTGGGGAAATCCTCATGGATACCTCCGGCTGCGGGGGCAACCAGAAGTTTATGCCGGACTCCTACCGGCTAAAACCCCACGGTGCCTCCTCGCACGTGCGCGCGGGGCCGCGGGAATCCAAATTCTTCCGCAGCCCCACACTAGTGCTGGCCCGGTCTGTCCGGGCCTCGTCTCCTGTACGGGGTAGCGAGGTGTTCAGCTACCCCCCTCCACAGCCTCCAACTCCACCTGCGTATCGGACACCCCCGAGTCCGATACGCGGAGGCCATGGGGCCAGGAAAATCGAGCGCTTAATAGCGCCCGCTTTCCCGATCCCAGCGGCGGATCTGGTCTATGGCTCCGCCGCCAACCAAGATTCGGCTGCGGAGGGTAGGAAGAGCGGCGCCTCGCAATACCGACACTCCTCTCCCCCCGCAGCCCCACCACCACCGCATCAATTAACGGTGCGGCCCCGTCTGAGTCGCGGAGGATAGGGCGAGTGGCGCATCGCCATACCAACACTCCTCTTCCTCCGCGACTCCACCTCGCTGCAGCGGTAGAGGGTGCGGACTCCCCTCTCACCGCAGCCCACCAACACACATCCGAAGTGGGCTTCCCCAGCCCACTCGGAGTGGCCACCTCGGGCCGGCCCTACACCTCGGGCCAGCCAAGGGGTTCCTCTTCGTTCACCGCGGTTAACCAAGCCACGGCTACTAAGCCCCCCCGCCACGACAAGGCGGGAACCCGTTCGGGGGGGTCGGGGGGGAACCTAACCTAACCTAACCCAACTACAACTTTGCTTATAACTTTCATAAAACTTCGTCTTTTTGTTCAAATTTTTTCTATATAATACAACTAATTGCTCCCCATATTACCCTATAGTTTTCTTATTAAATTTTCACTGTTATATTATAAATTTTCACATTTTTCATTCTTTTATAGTCGTAAATTCACAAATAAAACATAAAATCTTCTCTAACTTTGCATAAAATTTGTCTTTTCTGTTCATATTTTCTTATTATGTAGTGAAACTAATTGCCCCCTTTAATTCCATCTAGTTTTTTCATACAATTTTCACAGTAAAATTACAAATTTTCATATATTTCGTTTTCTTAGAGTCGTATTTTCATTAAATTTTTAAATTTTTTTCAAATCTGCTTTTATTTCGCTCGTTTTGCTTCTGTAAGGTCCGTCTAGTGTAGAAACTGCCATCTGCACTCAAATCTGTAAAATACTATTCAAAATTAAAAGTACAATATCTCCTGGCAAAACTATTAAACGGACAACAAGGATATACAACAGCAAAAAGGCAAAATGGAGTCAGTTTCATGTGAAACTGACTCAATTATTGACCGACAGTAAAATAAACAAAATAGAAATAGATAGTATAAGAAATAGTATAAATTTGGAAAAACATTTAGAGAAATATTTAGAAGTAGTAAAAGAAGCCTGTGATGCTACCATTCCCAAAAATAAAAATAAGAAGCAGCCATGCCCCGACAGCACCTGCGTCACCCTAAACGACAGGGAGCCGTGCCTTCTCCCGAGCCAGTCGTCGAGTACTGGCCGGATCGCCTCGACGGTAGCGAGGCCGGCGGTAGGGCGCAGAAGCCTTTGCCGCCATTCCGCCACCAAGACCTGACGGAGCTCCTCTCGGCGCAGCGCGATCTGCCGCTGCACCGGCCTCGAGCCCCGTGCCCGCTCTTCCTCGCGCCATCGATATAATGACGCGAGTACTTTCGCCTCTAGGTCCCAGGGCGGGGATCCGGCCAGGACGCAAGCCGCCTCGTAGGAAATCGTGCGATACCCGCGGACGACTCTGACGGCCATCGCCCTCTGCGGTTTACGCAGAATGGCGAGAGTGCTGGCCGTCATGTCCATCGCCCACACAGGGGCCCCATACAGGGCCATGGACCGCACGATTCCCACGTACAACCGCCTACAGAGAGCGCTCGGGCCCCCCAAGTTGGGAAGCAACGTTGATAGCGCGCCCGCTGCACCCATCAGCTTGGGCGCCAGCCGCCGGAAGTGGGGTCCGAATTCCCATCGGCTGTCGAGCACCAATCCCAGATACTTCATGGTGGACTCGACAGCTATCCGGGCCCCGCTGACCACGATGTGTGAACCCGGCGGCGGCGCGCGTCGAGGGCCATGAAACACCATGGCCTCCGACTTACTTAGGGCCACCTCCAGGCCCAGGCACCGGATGGTTGGCACAGTGGTTGATGTTGCCCTGGAGAAAATGGAGAGAATGGAATTGTGCCATTATTGACATTCCATCCCCTCGGCAACGGTCCTGGGCCGGTAGTCGGCCGCGGAGCTGCTTGCCTGCGGGGGCAGTGAGGTTAACCCGGCAGGCTTAGTGCTCCTCTTCTTTTCCTTTTTCTTTTTGGCCTTGCTGGCAGGCGCCCCACAGGCCCCTCCGCCTACTCTGTGCTCTGCAGGCCTTCCCGCAGCAGAACAAAGGCTGCAGTTGAACGCCGCGGTGCACAGGGCCGCGTTGTGGCCAGGCTGGCCGCAGCAAAAACAGAGGTCACTACGGTCAACCTCAGCGGTGCACTTCGCCCGGACGTGCCCTTTTTCCAGGCACCGGAAGCACTGCAAAGCCCGGGGCTGTAGAAGCTTGGTTTTTGCCGCCACCCAGCCTACCAGCAATCTGCCGCTATCAGCGATCTTCTTCGCCGACGCCACAGGGCACCGAACCCAGACCATGCCGAGTCCGGAGGCGTCGGTGCGTATATCTCCAGCCCGCACCTTGTCCGGTGGACACTCTCCGCTTCTGGCAACGGCCGCCACCACCTCCTCAGAGGTCACGGAGTCGTCCAGGCCAGCAATCCGCACCTCTGCGGTTTTCATTGGTCTGGAGACCCGGACGTCCTCAGGGTTGAGGACCTCCCTCATTTTGTCGGCCAGTGCATCCGCCTTTTCGGCACTGCTGATCACAGTGCCAGCCACCTCGAACAGCCGTGCACCCGTGGCAGCCTGCCTGAGGGTGACGGACTGAAGGCCAAGATCTGATAATTTGATCTTGGCCTTGGCCTCAGCGATGATCGACTGGTACGTCACGCCACGCTCCACAGCTCCGGGCTGCAACGTAAGCGTCACGGCATTGGACCGAGGAACGTGCACAGTCGGTCTCTTGCGACCGCCTTTGGCAGCCCGCCGCGCAGGTTGAGGAGCCGTATTTTGCCTTCTTGGCGGCTTTGCGGGCCTTTTTTGGGCCCACGACTTTTGCCCAGGTTTCACCCTTAGACCCGACAGTCATGGGCTGCTCGCTCGAAGGAGCTCCCTCCGCGGGCTTTTTGTTACCCTCCGCGGGCTTCCCCTTTTGAGAACCAAGTCTCGGCGGCTCCTCAGTTCTCCGAGTGCCCGCCGCCAAAGGCGGACGGAGGATTTCCTCCGGGAGACGCCGTGAAATCGCCTCCAGCCGAGCGTTAACCATGCTCCCGCACTGGAGCATGCAGATCCGGACAATGCGCTCGACCTCTTCGTCGGTACGAGGGCTTGCCGGTCGCGGTGCGGGAGTCGGGGCCACTACAGGTGCGGCATCGGTGGACGTGCGTCGCTGCTGCTCTTCGCTCAGCGCAGCGACTTGGCGTCGGAGGTCCTCCAAGTCATTTCTGAGGCGGCTGTTTTCCTCCTGTAACTTTGCGACCTCGTCAGAGGCCGTCCTGTTGCGGAGGATGCCAACCGCCTCCCTGATATCCGCGGCAGCCTCCTTTAAGCCACGGGTGAACGTGCCCTTCAGGCTGCCAGACTTGGTGGCAACCTTCAGGACTAAGTCCACCCCATCCAGAGCCAGCTGGCTTAAGGCCACCGCAGATGGCTCTCCCCCTTCCGCCGCAAGAGCAGCTCGTCGCTCGCGAGCACGTCGGGCCATTTCCGACACTTCGTCGGCCGCGACGGCTTTACACTGCTCCCTCTTGGCGGCGTTGAGCTCCGCCTTTGAGCTCCCCAGCGAGGCACAGCTTTCACCGCCATCGCCAGGGTCCTCCGTTGTGAACCCCATGTCGCTCTCTGCTTCACTAGCCGCCGAGGTATTGGAGCACACGAATCGTCCGTGCTTATCCCTCCACGGCTGCAAGGCACTCGCCCCTCTCGATGACTGCCGACCCCTCCCCGAAGTCGGCAACTTGGGAGCCGATAGGCCTTCCTCTTCTGAAGACCGGCACACTGGACGTTTCCTAGCGGAAGACGTCCCACGCGACCGATTTCCACCGCTTCCAGTATCTGAGACTGCCTCCTTTTCAACCTCTACGTTTTTAATGTTTATATATTTTTTCATGTTTTATCCCACGAGTGTGGAGGAAATAGCAGTCCATCCGAACAGTGCCTCCTGTGCCCGGATAAGCCTATGCGTAACCCATCAAAGGTGTCAGCCGGTACCCCGACGGGGGCAACGTTAACGACTGAACATTTACCCATCAGCCATGCAGCTCCTCACGGCGTGCCACGCTTGAGCTTCGGGTGATTTTTAAAGAGGTTATCATCCTCGCGACTCCAGGCGGTTAAGCCAAGAGCCCTCGGCCCCTAAGACGCCGCGAGACGTGATCCACGACACGCCAGAGGGATTCCGAGGTTCGAATGGTGGCAGAGGCTAGGGAGAGCGGTGCCTCGCAATACCGACACTCCTCTTCCCCCGCAGCCCCACCACCACCGCATCATTAACGGTGCGGCCCCGTCAGAGTCGCGGAGGATAGGGCGAGTGGCGCATCGCCATACCAACACTCCTCTTCCTCCGCGACTCCACCTCGGCTGCAGCGGGAGAGTGAGCGGACACCTTCTCACCGCAGCCCACCAACACACATTCGAAGTGGGCTCGTCAAGCCCACTCGGAGTGGCCACCTCGGGCCGGCCCTACACCTCGTGCCAGCCAAGGGGTTCCTCTTTGTTCACCGCGGTTGACCAAGCCACGGCTACTAAGCCCCCCCGCCACGACAAGGCGGGAACCCGTTCGGGGGGGAACCTAACTTAACCTAACCTAACCTTTTTTTTTTACATGGGGAAATGCCTACGCATACCCGCCTCGCGGAGGCAAGGACTAAAACCCCATGGTGTTCCACCCTCGTCGCATATTGGCGGGGCCACGGGAACGCTCTCGCACACATCCGCGGCCCAACCTGCGCTGGCCGCCCCATGGCGGCCCCTCCTCGGGAGAGGACTACTCCTCCCCCATCTCCCTCTCAGGTAAGGCGCACCAGAACACATGGCGCGCCCTCCTCCTCGGCCTCCAATTTCATATGCGCAACGGACGCCCCCGTGTCCGATGCGCGAAGGCCATGGGGCCAGAAAAAACTAGCACTCAGAAGCATCAGCCTTCCTGACCCCAGCGGCGGATCTGGTCTATGGCTCCGCCGCCAACCAATATTCGGCTGCGGAGGGTAGGGAGATCGGCGCCTCGCAATACCGACACTCCTCTCCCCCCTCAGCCCCACCCCCACCGCATCAACGGTGCGGCCCCGTTTGAGTCGCGGAGGATAGGGCAAGTGGCGCATCGCCATACCAACACTCCTCTTCCTCCGCGACTCCACCTCGGCTGCAGCGGTAGAGGGAGCGGACACTCTCTCACCGCAGCCCACCAACACACATCCGAAGTGGGCTCGTCAAGCCCACTCGGAGTGGTCACCACGGGCCGGCCCTACACCTCGGGCCAGCCTAGGGGTTCCTCTTTGTTCACCGCGGTTGACCAAGCCACGGCTACTAAGCCCCCCCCCCCCGCCACGACAAGGCGGGAACCCGTTCGGGGGGAAACCTAACCTAACCTAACCTTTTTTTACATGGGGAAATGCCTACGCATACCCGCCTCGCGGGGGCAAGGACGGGTTATGTCGGACTCGCACCGAATAAAACCCCATGGTGTTCCACCCTCGTCGCATATTGGCAGGGCCACGGGAACGCTTTCGCACACATCCGCGGCCCCACCTGCGCTGGCCGCCCCATGGCAGCCCCTCCTCGGGAGAGGACTACTCCACCCCTATCTCCTTCTCATGTAAAGCGCACCAGAACACATGGCGCGCCCTCCTCCTCGGCCTCCAATTTCCAATGCGCAACAGACGCCCCCGAGTCCGATGCGCAAAGGCCATGGGGCCAGGAAAAACTAGCATTCAGAAGCACCGGCCTTCCTGGCTCCAGCGGAGGATCTGGTCTATGGCTCTGCCGCCAACCAAGATTCGGCTGCAGAGGCTAGGGAGAGCGGTGCCTCGCAATACCGACACTCCTCTCCCCCCGCAGCCCCACCACCACCGCATCATTAACGGTGCGGCCCCGTTAGAGTCGCGGAGGATAGGGCGAGTGGCGCATCGCCATACCAACACTCCTCTTCCTCCGCGACTCCACCTTGGCTGAAGCGGTAGAGTGAGCGGACACCCTCTCACCGCAGCCCACCAACACACATCCGAAGTGGGCTCGTCAAGCCCACTCGGAGTGGCCACCTCGGGCCGGCCCTACACCTTGGGCCAGCCAAGGGGTTCCTCTTTGTTCACCGCGGTTAACCAAGCCACGGCTACTAAGCCCCCCCCGCCACGACAAGGCGGGAACCCGTTCGGGGGGGAACCTAACTTAACCTAACCTAACCTTTTTTTTTACATGGGGAAATCCTCATGGACTACCTCCGCCTGGGGAAAGGCGGAGGGGCGTGCCGGACTCTTACCGGCTAAAACCACCCCAGTGTCTCCTCACACGTGCGCGTGGGGCCTCGGGAATCCAAATTCTTCCGCAGCCCCACACTAGTGCTGGCCCGGTCTGTCCAGGCACGGGGTAGTGAGGTGTTCAACTACCCCGTGTATCGCCTCAGGGGCGCGCGCCGACACCGCGGGTCCATCGAGTAGGGGTGGCGGGGGGCTTCCCCAAGTCCCTCGCCCCTGGACCCATTTATGGGGGCCGGAAAAGGGCGTTGTCCGCCCTTCTCCTGCGCCCGGTGCGCCTTCTGCGGCCAGGGAAGGGAGTCGAGATCTCCCTTTCCCGTTCCGCAGTTTCCTTCTGCGACATCACGTCCTCGCAGAAGGACACCACCGCATCCCACGACTCTGCGCTACCAACCATCTTCCGCACTAAGGCCGGCAGCGACAGATCGCCTCCTATTTTATTTGTGAGGACACGGCGCTGCTCCTCCCAAGCTACACACTCGGCGAGCGTGTGTTGCGCCGTATCCTCCCCGCAATGGACGCAGTGGTGGCACTGAGCAAAAGGCTCCCTGTCTATGCGGCGCAGGTACTTGCCGAAGCAGCCATGCCCCGACAGCACTTGCGTCACCCTAAACGACAGGGAGCCGTGCCATCTCCCGAGCCAGTCGTCGAGTACTGGCCGGATCGCCTCGACGGTAGCGAGGCCGGCGGTAGGGCGCAGAAGCCTTTGCCGCCATTCCGCCACCAAGACCTGACGGAGCTCCTCTCGGCGCAGCGCGATCTGCCGCTGCACCGGCCTCGAGCCCCGTGCCCGCTCTTCCTCGCGCCATCGATATAATGACGCGAGTACTTTCGCCTCTAGGTCCCAGGGCGGGGATCCGGCCAGGACGCAAGCCGCCTCGTAGGAAATCGTGCGATACCCGCGGACAACTCTGACGGCATCGCCCTCTGCGGTTTACGCAGAATGGCGAGAGTGCTGGCCGTCATGTCCATTGCCCACACAGAGGCCTCATACAGGGCCATGGACCGCACGATTCCGACGTACAACCGCCTACAGGCGGCGCTCGGGCCCCCCAAGTTGGGAAGCAAGGTTGATAGCGCGCCCGCTGCATCCATCAGCTTGGGCGCCAGCCGCCGGAAGTGGGGTCCGAATTCCCATCGGCTGTCGAGCACCAATCCCAGATACTTCATGGTAGACTCGACAGCTATCCGGGCCCCGCTGACCACGATGTGTGAACCCGGCGGCGGCGCGCGTCGAGGGCCATGGAACACCATTGCCTCCGACTTACTTAGGGCCACCTCCAGGCCCAGGCGCCGGATGCGGTTCACCACTTGTGACACCGCAGCCGTGGCAACCAACGCTGCTTCCCTGTGCGAACTCCCCCGGGCAGTGACGAGCATGTCGTCCGCATAACACGTCAAGTCGGCGCCCGACGGGAGTTCACCTCTCAGCACCCAGTCGTAGCCGATGTTCCACAGGAGCGGTCCCAAGACCGATCCCTGCGGAACACCGCACGACATGACGCGTCGACCAGCGCCGTCACGTCCCCAATAGGTAACGCATCTCTCCTCAAGGTAAGCCCCTATTGTGCGGCGGAGGTAGGGAGGCACGCGATGGTAATTCAGCGCCTCCCGAATACAACTCCAGGGTAGGGTGTTGAAGGCGTTGGAGATGTCTATGGACACCGCCGGCACCACCCCCCCCCCCGGGATACTGTTTCCTCCGCCAGGGCCCTCACGCGCGTAATAGCGTCTATGGTGGAGCGCCCGCGACGAAAACCAAACTGGTTGTCATCCAGGTCCGGTCCCTCTCTGCACAAGTGGCTGACGAGGCGATCTGCGATGATACGCTCTAAAAGTTTGCCCGCCTCGTCGAGCAGCACTATGGGCCGGTACGCGGACGGTGAGTCTGCGGGGCGCCCCTCCTTCCTGAGCAGGAACAACCTCCCCTCCTTCCACACACTGGGAAACTGACCCTGCTCGAGACATGCCGTGAAGAGCCCTCTCAGCTGGGGAACCTAACCTAACCTAAAAAGCAAGTCATGCCGTGAAAATCCAGAAGCAGGGAATTGTCTATAATTGACAACATGTTCAACGGAGGAGACGGCTATAAGGTCGATCCAGGTGTCAGCAGAAAGGAAATTGTGATGTGTTGCGTTCAGAGGCAAAATAGTGAAATTATGCGACATCATGGTAGACTTTAAGAGTAGTTACTCTATCAAGTCCGGAGGTAAGGTCTCATTATAACTAACAAAACGAGCCCAAACTCGGCACATCTAGTTCTCCTCGTCGAGAAGTTCCAGTAACAGTCACTAAAGTACACTTTCAAGTTACTCTATCAAGTCCGGAGGTAAGGTCTCATCATAACTAACAAAACAAGCCCAAACCGGCACATCTAGTTCTCCTCGTCGAGGAGTTCCAGTAGCAGTCTTTAAAGTACACTTTCAAGTCACTCTATCAAGTCCGGAGGTAAGATCTCATCATAACTAACAAAACGAGCCCAAACTCGGCATATCTAGTTCTCCTCGTCAAGGAGTTAGAGTAGCAGTCATCAAAATACACTTTCAAGTCACTCTAGCAAGCCCGGAGGTAAGGTCTCATCATAACTAACAAATCAAGCCCAAACTCGGCACATCTAATTCCGTCGTCGAGAAGTTCCAGTAGCAGTCATTAAAGTACACTTTCAAGTTACTCTATCAAGTCCGGAGGTAAGGTCTCATCATAACTAACAAAACTAGGCCAAACTCAGCATATCTAGTTCTACTTGTCGAGGAGTTCCAGTAGCAGTCTTTAAAGTACACT